ACCAAAAATATTAAAAAATGAAAAAGGTATAAGCTTGCAATAATATATAAATTAAAATGTAGAAATGGGGATGTCAAGCCCCAAGCCAGGTATAATTGCTGTCGAAATTTTTGATTGAAAGTTTCTAATTCTAAACTTTCAATCAAGAAGAATTTTGACAGCAATTACACTTGAGTTGAGCTCAATATTCCCACATTTCCATTTTAATTAAAAAAATATTACTTATATAATATTGCTTCGGAAATATTCATGTAATGAAGAGTTGTATCTGTGACGTAAAAGAAAGGGAAACTGTCTTTACCACGTCAATCTATTCTGTTGTACTTAACGATCCTATTCCGTGCGAAAATAAAAGAACGCAATTAACCGGCGACGACGACGTCGTCGTTAACCCACACGCGTAAAAAGCAGCCGCGATATGGAGGCGCCGGGAGATAATCACGAAGACGCGAATGCGACAAAAAGAACGAGCAGGACGTGCGCGATTGCGACGAGTCGTCGGAGGTGGGTTTTTGTTACTGAACGCGATTTCGGTCGAAGCTTCGCACCACCGCTGCGGGCGATTCGAAACCCCTCGCAAAAGTGCCGTTCCGTGTTTTCCCGGGCGCGTTTTAGCGGTGAAATTCCGGGCGCCGGTAATTCGCTGTAGTCGCGCTAATTAGAGCCGCTGGCGGCTGGTCTCGGACGGTTTCTGGTCGTTTCTGCTAGTCCCCGTGGTTAATAAAGACATAATCGTTACGAGTAGCTAACGTGCGACCGTCGCAGGAGACCCTCGATTGCAACAATGCACATGCAGTTACCGCACGTATCTCGAACTCGGCTTGATTAAAAAATTGTGTGAACGGATGGTTTTGACGTTCGCAGCGCATCTATTTTTTCGTCATTTTGAAGAAATAAAGATCGATATCGATTTAAAGTCTTCCGATCATAAAAAAGTGCGCTTCATAAAAAACTTGGGGAAAAAAAAATATATATATATATATAATAAAATGTATAGAAAAAAAAGTTAATAGATATTATAAATGAAGTATTACTTATTAAGTATTATTACTTTGTACTTTTTCATTATCAAATAAGGTTCATCAATTGATGACAGTTTGTCACACATTTCATGAAGAGAATTAAACATTTTGATTTTTGAGCATTTTAGATATCTTTTTTTGCCAAAATCAATATTAAATTTAATTAGACTAGAACAAAACAGGCGCGCGCTACGCGCGCGCACTTATTGTGTTAATTTAATAATTATGAAATCTAAATATTTTAATAAAATTTTTTTTATTTTAAGTAACCGTCAAAATAACCTTCGCTCTCAAACTATCAAAATGTCAGAATAATCGATAACCAAGCAGCGTCGCGGAAAAGCGTCAACAATACTTTTAATACATTCGAGTATCGATCTTTCGTGTCTTTTTTAAGAGTGGAATATCGCTTTATAAGATTATATACTGATTAAATTGCATTTTAAAAAAAGTGATTATTGCGGATAAAGACAATTGACACTTTCGGAAATAACCTTGTCGATATTGAAGTCAAAGCAATTTTGATGCGAACGTAACGGAATACGCTGAAGCGTGTAATAGCTTCATTACCACGGCGTCTCTTCAGAAATCTAGAGCCATGGCAGGAGGCCATAAATCCTGCCTAATGCAATACACGAGCGATAATTCCACCTCAGGCCAAAATTTGAATCACGAGAAGCGCCCGAGAATCGATTGCCGTGCTTGCTTCCTCTAAACACGCGATACAACGATAGTTTTATCCAAGATACTCATCGTCCTTCTCTTTCTATTTATATCCTTTTTCTCTGGCATCCGCTATTAGTTAAAAATTTTTAACATTTGAGTATTTAAAAACAAATAATATAATTATATTAATTTATCAAAATTAAATAAACATATAAAGTTAATTGAACCATATTGAGCTGAGTTTATTACATATGTACAATGATATATTACTGATACTTCAAGTTTTTACATTACTATTAAAAAAAAATTAAGATTAAAATAAATTAAATATTACTATAGTATGTTCACACATATGATTCAATTAATGTTTATTATAATGAAATATACATTTTTCTAACTTCTTATTTCTTAATTATTAATTTAAATGATGGCCATTCATAATAAGTGATGCATTGAGTATGTACAGTTATGACAAGTTACGACCAAAATAAAAAACTAATAAATAAAAATGAAACTCACCAAACATTGTAGTTACCAAGCTCACCAAGCATTGTAGCCACCAAGCATTATAGCCACCAAGCATTATAGTCACCAAGCTCACCAAGCATAGCTTCCAGCATTGTAGTGAATATAGCATCCAGAAGCACAATATCCAGAAAAACTGAAAATATAAAAATCATTTATATTTCAATATAAGAATTATTTATATTTCAAATATAAGAATTATTGATATCAAGAAGATAAATTGCATAAAATAGTTTTTATCTTATTTTTAATATTTTTTATATAATAATATGCTTTTAATTTTTATCAATTATTTATAATTATTTGAATAATTTAATTACCTAAATGTGTGTTGGGTGTGTGCGTGTGTGTGTGTGTGTGTGTGTGTGTGTGTGTGTGTGTGTGTGTGTGTGTGTGTGTGTGTGTGTGTGTGTGTGAATGTGTGATGCTACGATGATGACTTGTCACTTTATGAGAAAACAGATTAAACAAGTCCTATAAGACAAAGATAGTATTTAGAAAAACTAAAAATATAAAAAATTATTAAAAATACCATTTTAAAAGTTTTTATCTTAATCTTAATTAATAATACAACATACAATCATTAATTAATATACTTTATTTACCTATAATATTGCGATAAGGACTTGTCATCAACGAGAAGAATTAAATAAGCAAAGTAGGAACACGGCTAGAAGTACAGCCAGAAGCACAGCAAGAAGCACAGCAAGAAGCATAGCTGGAAGCACAGTTGGAAACACAGCTGGAAGTATAACTGGAACTACAGTTAGAAAAAGTATAAATATAAAAAATAACCTAAATTATTATATAATAATCAAAATTTTTGTCTTAATTGTAATGGATAATAACATATTTAGTCTTTATTAGGTATTTCAAATTATTAATTAATTTATTTACCTATAATATCGTAACTTTATTTCATTTACCTATAATAATGTAACTTGTTGTCGACTCGCGAAAAACACGTTACGAACGAATGCGTATCATACCGATCGTGTACACTAATTAATGAAGCTAATTAATTCGACACTCCCGGTACTGATTCAATGCACGGTCATTTTATGTAAACAATTAAATTCTTCCGATGTGACAACGGCCCGGAGCAAACGTAAAACTGAGATGGCGGACAACACTGAGATGACGCGATCTGTAGTCTTTATCACGAACTATGCAAGGAATATGTTTTTAACTACACTTTCTGAGCTATTTTGTAACAATTATTTTTCTCCTCTCGTTCTCCCTATGTTCTAGATATATTTTTCATTTGTTATATTATTTAGAAGAATAAAAGTCCCTTATTTTTTATGACTATATGAAATTTTTCGAACAATGATTACTTTTTTGGCGTCACTTATTGCCACTTGATAACCCCCTAGCATCATTAATAAGAGCACTTACATAATAGTCGGAAGCGTGTGCACGCCTACGTTAGTGGAGGATCTAGGCAGCATTTCCGGCAAACAACGGAACGGCAACTTGGTGGCGGCAGCATAACACGAAGCGACTTTGCAGCAATGCATTCGGCTTAATCGGGCAGAACAGCGCGTTTCGCGCAGAGACCTGTGTACATCCAACAGCCAGCTTAACTGTACCTTCGTGCACATCGAATGCACCGCTTAGCTCGGGTCGTTTCGGCATGCATATTTCATATTATAAGATCCACTACAAAATTTTACATATATTTATACATATTCTACATGTTATAATATACTACAGAACCAAAAGAAACTGTTTATTAAATAATTTTGCTGTTACCGTGATTTATGAGATGCTACCAATTAAGAGACTGCATCCTTTCTTCCTGACTTGTAAAAAACGTCGCGACAGTAACAATTTTCGCACTAATCGCAGCGAATCGCGTGGCATCTTGATCGCAAGAATGCATCAAATCTATCATTGGTGCTGCAGCTTTTTTACTGCAGGTCAAGAACCAATTAAAGTGATCGTTATTAGATAATTTTGCTGTTTCTGTGATTTCATACGACTCTATTCTTTCTTCCTATTGGCTTGTAAAAAACGTCGCGAGAGTAACTCAATTTTGGCGCAAAAGTGCAGCGAATCGCGTGACATCTTGATCCCTGTCGCAAGAATACATCGAACCTATCATTGGCGCTACTGCTTCTTTGCCGCAGGTCAAGAACCAATTAGAGTGATCGTTACGATTTGATCGTTCTCGTCACTTTACGGTAATCGCGCGCGTTATGTGGATGTCTCGTAGTAATCGAGTACATTTTTTCGGATTTATGCGTATATTTGTGCAGATGCGGTCGTACGTGATATCTATCAAGTGTGTCTTCGGTAACACAGTAATTCCGGGAGTGAACGTGTGTGCTCGAAAAAGTATAGTGTGGACTCTGTTCTGTTCGCGGGACGCGTAATGTCGTTGTATTTGACGTTGACTAGTATTTACGAATTGTTCATGTCGCGATAAATTTCCTAACGTTACTAAACGATTGTTTTGGAGGAACTTCGTATTTATAATATACTTCACAGAACCAAAGAAAACTGTCTATTAGATAATTTTACTGTTATTGTGAAATATGAGACGCTATCAATTGAGAGATTCTATCCTCTCTTCCTATTGGCTTGTGAAGAACGTCGCGACTCAATTCTCGCGCTAATCGTAGCGAATCGCGTGATATTTTGATCCCTGTCACAAGAATATATCGAGCCCATCATTGGCGCTGCAGCTTCTTTGCCGTAGGTCAAGAACCAATTAGAGTGATTGTTACCGCCGTGATCGTTACGATTTATTTGATCGTTCTCGTCACTTTACGGTAATCGCGCGCGTTACGTAGACGTTTCGTAGTAATCGCGTACATTTTTTCGATTTTATGCGTATATTTTGTGCGGATGCGATCGTACATAATGTCGATCAAGTGTGTCTTCGATAACGCAGTAATTCCGGGAGTGAATGTGTCTGCTCGGAAAAGTATAGTGTGGACTTCGTCCTGCTCGCGGAATCGCGTAATGGCGTATTTGACGATGACTAGTATTTACGAAATTGTCCATGTCGCGATAAATTTTGTAACGTTACAATCGTTTTTTGGAAGAACTTCGTATTTATAATATACTTCACAGAAGCAAAAGAAACTGTTTATTAGATAATTTTACTGTTACTGTGAAATATGAAACATTACCGATTAGACGCTATCCTCTCTTCCTATTGGCTTGTCAAGAACGTCGCGACTCACACTCGCGCTAATCGCAGCGAATCGCGTGACATCTTGATCCCTGGCGCAAGAATACATCGAATCTCTTATTGGCACTGCAGCTTCTTTACCGTAGGTCAAGAACCAATTACAGTGATCGTTACGATTTGATCGTTCTCGTCACTTTACGGTAATCGCGCGCGTTACGTGGACGTCTCGTAGTAATCGCGTACATTTTTTCGAATTTATGCGTATATTTGTGCGGATGTGGTCGTACATAATGTCGATCAAGTGTGTCTTCGGTAACGCAGTAATTCCGTAAATAAACATGTGTGCTCGAAAAAGTATAGTGTGAACTCTGTCCTGCTCGCGGGACGCGTAATGTCGTATTTGACGTTGACTAGTATCTGTGAAATTGTTTATGTCGCGATAAATTTTTTAACGTTACTAAACGATCGTTTTAGAGGAACTTCGTATTTATAATATACTTCACAGAACCAAAGAAAACTGTTTATTAGATAATTTTATTGTTACTGTGATTTTATGAAACGCTACTAATTGAGAGACTCTATCCTCTCTTCCTATTGGCTTGTGAAGAACGTCGCGATTCAATTCTCGCGCTAATCGTAGCGAATCGCGTGACATCTTGATCCCTGTCGCAAGAATATATCGAACCTCTCATTGGCGCTGCAGCTTCTGTACCGTAGGTCAAGAACCAATTAGAGTGATTGTTAAAGCCGCCGTGATCGTTACGATTTGATCGTTCTCGTCACTTTACGGTAATCGCGCGCGTTACGTGGACGTTTCGTAGTAATCGCGTACATTTTTTCGGATTTATGCGTATATTTGTGCGGATGCGGTCGTACGTGATATCTATCAAGTGTGTCTTCGGTAACGCAGTAATTCCGGGAGTGAACGTGTGTGCTCGAAAAAGTATAGTGCGGACTTCGTCCTGCTCGCGGAATCGCGTAATGGCGTATTTGACGATGACTAGGTATATTTACGAAATTGTCCATGTCGCGATAAATTTTGTAACGTTACTAAACAATCGTTTTGGAGGAACTTCGTATAATAAATAGTCGTGATCAAATATTCGTCTTTGTAATACGCCGCTTCGAAATGAATATCGCGTCACGGAGTGCAAAAAATGGGAACGACTCGAATAGCCGTTATAAATTTTTGGTCATGTTGGACATCGTCCCGAAATGAGAAGTCGTTATGGACACCAGCATATATGATTGAGACTTGTACGTTGCGAGCATAACTCAGCTCTCCTATTTGCAGTTGTGTCGACAACGGTGAGTAGAATAAAAATTATCAAAATTAATAGAATATCGATGTTTTAACTCATTTGATATGAAGGGAGTATATTATATATGCATGCCATTATTTGTTATCACATAATTCGATTATTGAGGAGAAAAATTTTTCTGCAACACATCAATGAGAATGAGTAAAATTACCGATATCCTGTTAAATAAATATTTTTATGTTTTATATATTATTTCTCCTGCAATTGTATCTCCTGCGCGTAGAATGGTAATATTTCCTATTGCATTGTACAAAAAAATTAATATAAAAATGAAATATTAGTGTATTTTTTATTGAAGTACAGCAATTTATCAGCTTTTCAAATAATATTTTCAATGAGAATTTTCGGACTCAAATAGTGTATAAAATATGTAACACCTGTTGAATTAGGAAATTAAAATAGAATATTAAAAACGCATTGAAAAGTGATTTAAAATAATTATAATTTTAAATAGCTGACTATAAGCAATCCATATTTTGTTTCAACAATACTATTTTTATATTTTATCGTAATAATATGTATATATACATTATTTTACGCACTTTATATGTTTTATATTTAAATTATAATAATTTCCGAATTTTGAAACTATTTGAAGAAGCCTTTGATTCGAAAAATCCAATCTATTGTTCAACCTCGAGATCCGAATTATTTGAATTGCTCAACCATTTAAGATTTTTAACACTTCAAATAGCCAACTGATTATAATGCGCGCTTATGATGAAAGTCAATGAGATCGGACATCGGTAATTAGTATTAATGAAAATCAAGCTCTTATCTCTCGCGAAACATGGCGTGGCCGATTAAGCCTTTAAAATTTTTCGGGGCTCGCGTGTCGGAAACTACGTTCCTATCTCGACGTCTGTGCAGCGAGGTCTGCGATTTATGACTCGCAGGCTGCTGCCCGTGCCCTATTTCTCCATCCTTCCTTTCTTATATCCTTCCGGAGTCTTCTTCGATCTTTTCTTTTCGCTCCCGTTGATGTCGTAAATAGCTCTTTTCTTACTTGCTCACTAATGTAAGGCAAAATTGCAAGATTACTTTCAATGGTCCTGCTATAAACGTTGAAATATTTAATACAATAAGGCTGATGCACTTCCTCTTGGCTTAAAACTCTTTGACAAATTTCGCAATTGAATTTTTTTTGTTTACTTCAAATTTATATGTACCAGCTTTTAAAAATTTTTAAGATTTTTTAAAATATGATTAACTATGCATAAATGGAGCAATTAAAAAATTATTTAAAAGAATCAAATCCTTATTTGAAGAAAATCGTATGCAAAAGAAGAGAACGGACTAGAATATTAAGTGTGCGTAATGCTTTCGCTAAATAAAAACAAAAATTCCGAAATTTTGAAGCAATAACAAGTTTAATAAATTAATAAATTAAATTATATGTATGTACACACTTATTGCTCTAAATAGTACAATTAGCTAAAAGTTACGTTATTAGTATTTGCATTATTAGTACATTAGGAATGTCATAGTTAAATATCTTAATAAGTGCTAAAGTTTCGCGAGCGAGAAACAAACATTTGTTTGTTTCTCGCTCACGTTTGAATAACATTTTTCGCGTGATTGAAATTTCTTAAATATTTATAAATAGCGTAACCCGAAAATGAAGAGCTCTCAAATCTAGACCATTAAAAGTAAGTTATATTAAGAAATTAGAAACAAACATGAAGGCAATATTTGAAAAGAAAAGATAACGAAGTAGATTTGTAATTAATGTATCAACAAAAATGCACTTAAAAAATTTTGAGCATAGATCTGTAGACTGTGCATCCCTCATGTTTAACAATAAGCTATTTTACTAAGTTATTTATGCAAATTTTATGAAAATATAATTTAAAGAGTTTTCGTTAGGTTTGAGATATCAGCTTTATCGATGATGTATAACGAGATTACCTCTGAAAAGAATTATCTCGCGTCGACTAACAATGCCCGCGTAAATTCGACAAGTGGCAAACGGCTTCGAAAATAGCAATTGCCCGAAAATCGCGCATATTAGTCACGGGTCGATTTCGCAATGCATTCTCGCGAAAAGCCATTAAACAATAAATCGTATATTACCAGCAATTAATATCGCGAACAGCAGACATCCCGTTAATTCTCGTTTAAACAAATGCTATTTCGGTTAGAATTCATTCTGCATAACAGTAAACTGCATTTTCCCTAAGTCATCTTGAGCTACTACACGCGTTCATATCAGTTCGCAGAATGCAGCTGCGATAGAAGCAGCAGCAGCAGCAGCAGCCGTTGTAGATAGAGCTCGACAAAACTAATTTCTCTCGGAAGCCGACTCCTTTTGTGTAGTTTAAAGTACTACTTCTCTTTTTCGAGTGAAATTAAAATCCTTGCATACCTCGCAAGGGCGTAAGAGAAACGCATAGATTCGACTATTTCCAGCGTCGCGCGTATAAACCAGGATCAAAGAAAGTATACATATCTTAGGCATGCAATTGTCTCGGCGTAATACGGCAACACATAAAGAACAGGCTAAACGAGCAAAAAAAAAGTAGGACAGACAAAATACAGTCTATTAATATCATAGAATGATGTCGCATCTTTGCGATTGGTTTGTTGTTTGCTTGTGATCAAAAGTTTTATAAATATTCTTTTAATTTTTCTTTGTTGGAAATACTCGATGTAAAAGAATGTATAAGTATGCATCAAAAATAGAATAAAAGATGCTTTGGTGAAATTTCATGAATATATTATATCGAAGAAGCTTTTTAATTGTTTATCAGTAAAATTAGATAAAGATTCGTTTATTATTATTAATTTTAATAATATGCGGTAAAATAAACCGTTTTAAATTGATTGTAATTAACACACTAAAGATTACAACAATAAAGCATAAATTTTCAAACCTATAAAGCCGTGAACAAAGATAAAACTTGAGCAAAAAAATTGGACAACTGGGTGAAACTAGATAATATTTCACTTCACTTTATCTCTCAATCTCACGCTCTCGTCGCTGTTCATTTTCGAGCAGCCGTCGTCCGCGCGATTTTTATTAAGATCCGCGACTAACGGCGACAATCTTTTTCCGGCAGGCGTGAAATCTTTAATCTTTCCACATACTTAAACCGCTCTATATTTTAAAACTCACAGAGAAAGATCAGGGGGACGAGAGAGAGAGAGAGAGAAAGAGAGAGAGAGTGAGTGAGAAAGAGGAAGAGGCGCTGGCGTCGGGCGAGGCCACACGCGAGCTGGATACAGCACGAAGTCTGTTTATAATGGCGTACGCCTTAAAGCCGATTTGTTGCAACGCTCGTGGAGGTAGTCGCGCGAGATACGGCACGATTAAGGGTAAAAGTTTCCGTCGGGTTCGCCGCGCGGGAAGGATCTCGCGTGCGCCGGATGAGCCCCGGTGCACTCTCGAAAGTGAATACCCGGGAATTACTGGCGGCTGAAGAAGGCACACCCTCCCGACTTTATCTACCGGTTTATTTATGAAGCATAAATTCGCGTTTCGCACTGCGTGTATGAGAGCTTGAGACGCGGCCACCGCAGATATTCGGGGATAATTCCCGCGGCGGATGTTCCCGAAGTTGTTGTGAGCTCACATGGGGGATGAGAGAGTTGCTGCAGCGGAATGATATCTCCTAACTCGACGCGTGGCACATCGCTTGAGCAATATTTCACATATGTTCGAATTTAACTATGTGGATGAAGCGACGCTATGTATAATGTGTATGTTTTTCCGATTCATTCGTCGAGACTCTCAATTTAATGTCGAGACAAATATCATTTCAATGAAATTTGATTTTTCGATGTTATAAATGCAGAAAAATATATATTATGTTTTCGTTTTATTGCGCTTCCACTGTCGAATATAAACATAATATCTCTTCATATACAGAGTGTCTCAAAATGACTGTGCCAATGCTCGTGAGCGGATAGAGGAGAGTGAAAAAAAGAACAGAACAGTCCTTTACCGTTTTGCAATTTTTGCACTCATGGAAAAATTAATTAAAAAGAATTGGCGAATGCGTTTCGCGTGGCTAGACTGTGAAATATATGCTCTAGGTGTGCCAGCGGCGAGTATCGTACGGCAACGAAAAGTAAAGCTTCTACACCCGCTCGCTGCTCGTGTATTACTCCTGTCTTCGCCGAGCGACCAAACTTTTCGTTGTCACGCCTAGAGCATACATCCCAGCGTGCAAAACGCACGCTTCATTCGCCAACCCTTAATTTCTCCATAATTACTGTAAAAATTGTAAAACGGTAAAGAACTTTTCTGTTCAGCTTACTTATATTTATCCGAACGTTGACACAATTATTTTAAGACACCCTGTACGTGCAACATTAAAATCTGAACGCTTTTCAGCGAATAATTCCGAGTTTAATAATGTAAAAATGCCATTTTATATTCACACATGCGTGGGATTTAGCTCATAAAATATAGAACATCGAAGAGCTTCGTTATTGCAAATGCAAACGATCGGTGTAAATCGTGATCGCAATTACGCTTTTACGAGAAGATTTGCTTTTTGCCCGGGAAAACATGGGAAAACCACCAATCAGCGAGCTGTTTTGTTTCGCTCGTAATCAATCGAATAAACAGATCCTGTTACTGCATTATTGTCAGCGCAGTTTACATAGAAAAGGGATAACGACTCGCACACCAGCGCATTAGCGGTGATTAATCAATTATGGGCATTTTAAACCGGAATCATCAAAATGCTAATTTCCGCGAGCCCGCACACTATACCACGAATTCATTTGCTTAAATCAGCCGTACGAAATTTCGACGCCGATATTTATAACGTGCAATTAGGCATTGTATGTACAATAAACGTATTACACCTTGTTGTCATTATTTTGTCGCGTATTAAAAAGATTTATTTTAATCCAATTTCATGATTATATATTGTGAATAAAACAAAAGAATTATAACTGTCATAAATTTTTATCTTTATTTTTTCATAGAGTTTGCAATGGCAGAATAATTTAATGGCTATAAAATAAACATTCGTT